CTTTTAGTTGTTTTGTGAGAGAGAGTCTCAAGGTAGCCTAGGATGGCCTTGAACTCACTATGTAGCCAATGATGACCGGTAACTTTTGATCCTCCTGTCCCTACTCCCCATTATTTAGGTTATAGGTATGTGTCATCACACCAGAGTTTTTGTTTTGTTTTGTTTTTTGAGGGAGTGTTTTGTTTCTTTTTTTAGTATGTGGCACTGGCTGACCAAAACTTGCTATGTAAACTAGGGAGGCCTCGAACTCACATTGGTCCACCTACCTCTGCCTCCCAAGTACTGAAATCCTATGTGTGTCTCAGAAATGGTGACACACACCTGGCACTTTTGTAAAGTGTTATAGATAATCAAACCCAGGGCATTGTGCATCCTAGGTAACAGTCTATCAATTGGGCTACATTATTTATTTACCTGCTTTTGGAGCTGGAGAATGAACCTAGGGCCTCAGTCATACTAAGCATATATCCACTGAGCTATACCCCTGGTCCCTATTTTTGTTTTCTGCATAGCTTAAGTATCACACATTATTTACCAGCTTCCTAAGGATAGACATTTATATTGTTACTAATCTCTTGCTATTATCCTGTGTTCAAGTTCTTTCCACTGGAATCTGCAAATGCAAAAACCTGGTCAGATTCATGTCCAGCACTATCCGGTTCAAACCTCTAGCTCATAATTTCTTTTAGTTTTTCAACCAATTTTAAAGTTAATACGTGCCCCTATTGTTGCCCATCATCTCCTGTTGCAAAGGGCATACTGGAGAAGATCCCTAAGTGATTACAAGGCAAATATTTACACTGTAGAAATGCTACAGAATAATGTCCTCAGGGTTAGAGAGATGACTCAGTGGTTAAGAGGACCTGACTGCTCTTCCAGAGAACCTGGAGCTCAGTTCCCAGCAACCACATGGTAGCTCACAGTCCTCTACAATGGGATCAAATTCCTTTTTCTGGTGTGCATGAAGACAGAGCACTCATACACATGAAATGCATAAATAACTAAATCTTTTTTTTAAATGAATAAAGTTTGCCAGGGGCTGGAAAGACGGTTCAGTGGTTAAAAGCACTAGCTGCTTTTCCAGAGGACCAGATCTCCATTCCCTGCACCCATGTGGCTGCTCATGCAAAACACAGAAAATGTAAGCATTTTTTAAAAAGAGAAAAAGAACCGTGTCCTCATGCCCACAGCATGAATCACAGTGAAACGCCCCTAGGCACATCCCAGCTTCCCATCCTGAACATGGAACTTTCTTGGAATGTCAAACGACTCACTAAATTCTCTCAAGTCTTAGCTTTCTTGAGAAGTGCAGATTGTTGTGAGAACTAAATGATAATGAAGTGCTCAATGCGTAATAATTTTCATTTAACAAGTGTTTACTGGAAGCTTTTCCTAAATATGTAATTTTCTCAGTTGCCAAGGAAAGCAATATTTTTACCTTTAGCTTAGGAATAGGACATGTGTCATAACTGTTAATAGCATTTATTGTTAATATGGAAAATTGTTTCTCTAAAGATTGAATCAGCATGAAATATTTTTTCCTTTCCAAAATGATTTTACATACTTCTATCTAGCTAGTTTCTTTTTCATTAAAAATTATTACTTTGTGGGCTGGAGAGATGGCTCAGCGGTTAAGAGCATTGCCTGCTCTTCCAAAAGTCCTGAGTTCAATTCCCAGCAACCACATGGTGGTTCACAACCATCTGTAATGAGATCTGGTGCCCTCTTCTGGCCTACAGGCACACACACAGACAGAATATTGTATACATAATAAATAAAAAAATATTAAAAAAATTATTACTTTGTGTGTGTGTACATGTGTGTGTGTTTGTATATGGGTGTGTGCTTTGACACAAGTGTGGAGCTCAGAGGACAGCTTACCACCATGAGTCCCCAGGGATCAAACTCATGTCCTCAGAATTGGTGGCAATAGTCCATTGGTTTTTTCCCCATGTCAATGCAAGTGTAGTGCATCATTACAGATGTTTGAGGGATGCCCAGTTGTTGCATGGGTACTGGGATACAATACAAACTCTGGTCCTCATAATTCCATAGAAAGCGCTATTAACCAATGAGGCATCTCTTCAGCTCTAATATATATGCTGTGTGTGTGTGTGTGAACTTGCATGTGTGGAAGTCAGAGGATAACTTGCAGAAATTAGTTCTCTCTGTCCATCATGTGAGTTCCAGGGATCAATCAGTCTCAGAATTCAGGTCTTCAGGCTTGGCCACAGTGTTTTTATCTGCTTAGCCATTTTGCCAGCCCCACTTTGGCCTTTTTTCTTTCAGCAGAGTCTCCTTTACCCCGTTGGTCTTGTACATATTTAGTGAAGTTGATCCTGAACTCATGAACCTCCTGTTTCCACCTTCCAAGTGCTTGGATAGCCATTGTGCATCATCATGCCTGGTTTGCCATCTATCATTAATAAAGAGAGAATCTTTAAAGTTTGGGAATATTTATTTGACTTTTGTAACTAAACTATAGAACTAGAATGCTCCAGGGAGGATCCCGCAATGTGGGGACAGGACAGTCAGTTGCTGATGATGCCTTGTTTGTGTTAAAACAATCCACACAGAGCTCCCTCACTTTGCAGTGGGTGATGGGAGGAAGTGGTAGATGCACAGATGTAAATGCCATTCCTCTAGAGCGTGGATTTCAGAAGCGAAACTGGCTGGCTGAACTGCCCATATTAGGAAATGGCTGGTGGGTAGATGGTTGCAGTGTGAGTCTAAACAACTCGCCCCTGTCCATGGTGTGTGTAGAGGGAAGAGATACAAGAAAGAGTTAATCAGAATGGTTTTAGAGTAGTTATCTTTACAGCCACTCCATTATCTTTCTAACCAGATCGCAGTAGAGTCGTGAGTTTATAAAATCCAAACTTCTGGGTGAATAGGATTAAGGTGTATAAAACTAAATTTAAAAGATACTTAATGGAACTTTCGCTTCAGCTAGAGAAACTGAAATCCCACTTCAGTTTTTAAAGATAGGGTTTCTGAATCAGATTCCCAAACGAGCTTACCCACTTTTCCCTGGAATTGAGTTTAAAAATATGTGTTGTTGGTTTGAGTGAATCTTAGATTCAACATAACCTCTTTCTATAGAACAGTGACCAGAGGCCTGGGAGACAGACAACTTCTTAATTTCTGTGGTATGAATAAATTTCAACTTAACAAGATTTCAGTAGTTCTCCTGTTCTAAAAGGGAGTTCCAGAACAGCCAGAGCTATTACACAGAGAAAACCAAACCAAAACAAATTCAGTAGCTCCATTGTGTTACATGTAGCTTACTTATGTTAACAAAACTCTAGGAGTAAAATAGCATTAATTTTGCAACAGGTACACATTGCTATGTACAATAGAGACAATGAATTAGTTCCCCAAAGCACACAAGACTAAAGCAAACACTCCCACCCTGTACTTGGGAAGAGACACTTCCACAGAACTGACTCTTTAGTGTCCTTGAACTCTCTGGTATCAGGATTCTAAAACATCTACCTCAGGAGAATTGTGATTTTGAGATTATCCTGGGTTACCTAGTGAAATTCTGTCTCAAAAACCACATTTGGGCAGGAGGGCCGGGCTCAGCAGTTAAGAACTCTGAATGTTCTTTAGAGGATCCAGGTTCAATTCCTAGCACCCGCACGCAGCTCACAGTCACTCCGGCTCCAGGAAACTTGGGACACAAACATACAGGCAAAACATCCGTACATATAAAAAATAAAATAAAATTTAAACCACATTATAAAGCCAGGCAATGGTGGCACATGCCTTTAATACCAGCACTCAGGAGGCAGAGGCAGGTGAATCTCAGAGTTCAAGGCCATTCTGGTCTACAGAGTGAGTTCCAGGAGAGCCAGGTCTACACAGAGAAACCCTGTCTTGAAAAACAACAACAAAAACCTACAAAACACGTTACGAAAAATAAATACCTGCCTAGTATCCTTTGTTGAAATTGGCAGGTTGTTCTTTATTTTGGTTTTTTTAATGTTGTTGTCTGGGGGGGCTTTTTTATTTTCAGAAAGAAGGAATTCTAGCAAACCTTAACAGCAAAAAATTAAAATAAAATAAATGTGTGGTTCAGGTTTATAGTGATGGCTACTTCGGAGACTGAGGCAGAAGGGTCACAATTTCAAGGAATCTGCCTAGGCTAGAGTTCATGGCCAACCTGGGAAACTTAATGGACCCTGTCTCAAAATAAAAAGAGGGCTGCAGATGTGACTTAGTGATAGAGCACTTGCCTAGCACACACACACACACACACACACACACACACACACACACACACACACAAACACACAGAGAGAGCTAGAGAGAGCGATCCACACCCCATTCAGTATTAGTTCATAAAAATAAAGAGTTCTCTTTGTTTTGAAGACATATTTTTATTAAATGTAGGGGTGTGTGCCTATGCATGTAGGTATGTGCACATGTGTGCAGGTGCCCACAGCTCTGGCCTTGGGTCCCTGGAGCTAGAGTTACAGGTAGTTGTGAGGCACCATGACGACACTGGGAACTGAATTTCCAGTCCTCTGGAAGAACAAGTCCCCTCTTAACCTCTGAGCCATTTTTCTAGCTCTGAAAAAAAATGTTATGATAAATGGAAAGACCAAACCCATAAAGGTGTCTGAGGACACATTTACACCAATTGGTTAATGCTCTAATACTCCTAGCCAGCCAGCCTCACTCCCAGGCTGACCTCAGTTTGAGTACATTTTCCTCTTAGTCTCTCCAACACTTCAGTGGCATCTGTCTTACTGGGCCTCTGTGTGTTTAGGGGCACAATTCTATGGCCATTTCTTTTGTTCTAGGACAAATGGCTTGGATTGCATTCTAGTTCCATTTTGCTCTAATAGTCTGTGGGACCACTGTGCTCTGGCCAACATGGAAATCAAGATGAACTTTGCAAAGACAGCATTAAACTAAATATTAAGGAGAGTGAAACAATACATTGTTGCTGTAAATTTTTTATTATATTTTATTTTCTTGTTTGGGAGTGAAGTTGTGCACCACTTCTCACTTGTCGAGTTCAGAGGACAACTTTCAGGTGTTCATTCTCTCCTTCGACAATATGGGTCCAGAGATCAAACTCAGTTCCTCAGGCTCGCCAGCAAAAGCGTCTACTGGCTGAGTCATCGCTCTAGCCCTGAAACACAACGGTGTTTTAAAAGAAGATTGATTCATTTTAGGATTTGCCTTGTGCTTGTCATACAGGTCTGACTTCTTCTATTCCCAGAAGAGAAAGAAAATAAGGTCAAATTCCATCTTCAGAATGTTGGCAAACCTCAGATCAAAGCTTGGAAATTATCCTGGCAGGAAGGAATGTACTTTTAAAAAAAAAAAAAGCAAAGGAATTATGGTCTGTTCATGCCCAGGGCTCATCATCACTGACACCAGCACTATCACTAACACACACATACACACACACACACTTTTGAAACAGGGTCTCATGCTGTAGCCCAGTAAAGCTGGTCTGGAACTTACTTTGTAGCATATGCTAGCCTCAAACTCGCAGCAATCCCCTTGACTTAGCCTCCCTCTAGTCCTGCATTTACAGACATAAGTCCTTTCACCTGACAGGAATCATCACCTAGAAAAAGTTTTCGAAGGTTAACTTTGCATCTCAGCAAGTAGGCACTAATATTTCCCCCAGCCTGAGTAGCTGGTGCAGACTGCTTTATCACACAGGTAGGTCGCCAGACACCAAATACCAAATGTCTAGTTTAAAATCCAAACAGTTCTTTGAAAGAGGAGACTCCAAGGTGTGTAGTCTGATGGGATGATCCCTCCCTGTGGAATGACATTTTGGAAGCTCAATCAAACTGCAGATGATATTGACATTTTATCACACACACATGGAGCCCCTGCCGAGTGTGTTAACTTGATACACCACCCTCCAGAAACCCCTTCTGTCACATTCTTTCTCTACACAGGTCACTATTAATACTAGTTACTCAGCAGAGCTTAACACATGCCAGCAGAGGTTCCTGAGGGCATATTTGATCTCATGACCAGAAGAAACTTTCATCCTTTACTTGTATTTTAATTTTCCATGATGCTGACAGGTACAGCAACTTCACAACAGTCTTTTCCAGTCTCGCCAGGGCAATTAATCCCAGAAATAATCCCTTGAGGATCAAGGGATTATTGCTGAAGATGCAATAACTATTCATTGCAAAGGCAATGCATTGTATGTGTCTTCTGGGTCCCCAAACTGACTCCACTCATATTGTAATTTGTCTTTCTGTTAAAGGAAGTACTTTATGCTCATTGGCATATCCAGACCACCATCATCACTACTCTTGTGCTTTGGAGCCATTACTAAATGAAACAATGATTATTGGAACACAAGCACTAGGGCCCTACAATAATAGATCTAACAACTGGGGTGGATACTAAGTAGCACATGCAGCATAAATACTCTTGATAAAAAGAGCAATTCAGGGGGCTGGAGAGATGGCTCAGCGGTTAAGAGCATTGCCTGCTCTTCCAAAGGTCCTGAGTTCAATTCCCAGCAACCACATGGTGGCTCACAACCATCTGTAATGAAGCCTGGTGTCCTCTTCTGGCCTGCAGACAGAATACTGTATGCACAATAAACAAATAAATAAATATTAAAAAAAAGAGCAATTCATATCTTGGATGGGAAGGGGCAAGATCCTGCAAAATTTCATCATGCCAATCAAAAGAGCAATGTAAAAGTTTTGTCCTGTTTATTTCTAAAATTTCCCCTTTATAATTTTGGATCCAGACTTAACATTAACAACTAAAAACACAAATATGGAAGCCATAGATGAAGGGGACAACTGTAATAAATCCAACGAGAATTTTTCAAGTGACACATGAGACACGTGATATGTAAGATTATCTATCCTTTATATATATATATATATATATATCTCCCATATGCCGTTTTTTGTTGCAAATAGACAAATGTATAAGAAATTTGACGGGAAGATGTTGGGGACACAGTCCAAGAATAAAGTCATGTGAAGGAAATTCTGAGTGCTTATGAAAACAAGAATCTTCTGACCTCATTTGTCTCAAAAACATGGAATTGTTTTTAGAATATGCTTTCTTGCCCTTCCCGGGAATAAGAGTGAATTTACTTCAGATTATCATTACAACTGGCTGTTGTTATTTCTTTATTATGTCTCTATGAAAAAACATGTTTTGCCACATGTAGTTTGTCCTTGTGACTATATATTATGGTGAATTTTCTTAACACTCAGGGTACTGTAAGCAAAGACTGCTCATTTGCTTCCCAGCTGTCCAGACCTGAATAATCACACAGAAACTATATTAATTACAACACTGTTTGGCCAATAGCTTAGGTGTATTCCTAGCTGGCTCTTGCATCTTAAATTAACACAATTAATAGAAATTGTGCATTAATCTATTAATCTGTGCATCACCATGAGGCTGTGGCCTACTGTCTTTCTCTTTCGGGAGCAACATGGTGCCTCCCTGGCTCTGCCTACTCTCTATGTACATCTCTGTTCAGATTTCCCACCTGGCTTTACTCTGTTAAGCTACAGGCTGAAACAGTTTTATTCATCAACCAATAAAAATAAACACATGCAGAAGGACATTCCACATTATTTCCCTTTTTCTGTCTAATCAAAAAGGAGTGTTTTGACTTTAACATAGCAAAATTACATATAACAAAGTGGGTATCAAACTAGAATTACAGTTACAATATTTCTTTATGAGTCTAAAGTTCCATATCTAATTTATCTTTTATCATGACTAAGGAAAACTATAATCGTAACTATCTGTCTTCAACTACACCAAAGACCCCAGAAGGATATAATATTACCTAAGTAAACAGGAAGTGCATTGTAAGCAACTTCTAAAATTCTAAAATTGAAAGAGACATCTCGCTGTCTGGACAGTCACCCAAAGGTCTTCTGTAATGTTCATCTTCAGCCTACAGTATCTGGCAGACTTTTCCACGAAAAAGGGAATTTGAAAGACTGTTTCTCCTATATTGGCAGGTTGTCAGTCATTTTCTTCTGTGTCCTGCAACATGTCTGGCAGTTTCTTTGGTGGGGCAGGAATCCTGGAGGACTTTCTCACCTTCTTTAGGCAAGTTCAGCAGTCATTTTTTTGTGGGTCCTGCATATCCAGTTTATACAGTATACTGCCAAGCAGTCCAGGGAAGAGCAGTTTCTTGCCCACATGGCTAGCTTTGTCATATTGAAGGCAAATTTTATAATGAGTTTCTTCAATGCCAATCAACCTCTCTGAATTTTTAATTGGTGCTCCCAGAAGCAGACATATCTCACTGTCAAGAAAAGCCTAAGTTCTTAAAACATTTTAAATGCCATATTCTGTAAGACTTTGAAGTGTTGAAGATTATCTATCGAACTGAACTATATATCTGTATATCTAGAAAGCCTAACTAACATGACTACGAATTTGACTCTTATAAATGATTGTCCATTAATCTGTAATTTTAACTATACATTACATTTTAAATGAGCTGTATAAACACAATAGCTTAAACAAGAGCAGAAAGACATGTACACAGTGTAATAAAATCGACCTTAAATTTGTATCAATAGACCAAAGTCCCCAGACTCAAATGTCTCTATGTAGTCAAGAAATTCAAAGAAAACACGATATATAATCCAGACTCTCTGCATATTTTCCATTTATATGTGACTTTTTTCTATTACTTTTAAATATTTATTTACTTATTTAATTTATTATTTATTTATTTTAATTTAATTGATTTTATTTAATTATTAACTTTAATATTTGTTATCTTTACTCCTTTAATCTATGACCATCTGTACTCTTGTCTGTACTCTTTTTCCTCTCTCTGCCAAGCCTACGTACATATTTTAAACACACTATGACCCATTCAGAAGCTTATTTTTGTTTGAAACTGTCTTTATTGAGTATCTGTAATCATTTTCTGACCAGGAGCGCCTTTTTTTTTTTTTAATGCTAAGTGGGCATGGCTAAGACCAACTCTCTGGCCCTGCCTGTTGGCTCCGCCCCATTCAACATGATGGAGATATGTTCACTGCCTCTGCTAGCCATGTTCACTGCCCTGGCTCCAGGGACGCAGCAGGTCTTTGTCACCATTAAGTAAGTTGTAACACACTGCTCACAGACCCTATTTAAGTGTTCCATAACAGGACATCCTGAAAGTGCCAGAGCCGTTTGTGCCATCAGCACAAACCAGGAAGCCAGCCCTTAAAGGAGTGGTGCCTCTGCTCACTGCCAGCAAACAGAGCCTATTTTTAAAAATGTGGCTACCAAGAAGCTCCAATAGACTCCCATTTTTGTGGGTCTAGAAGTCCCCCTTTTTTTTTTCTTTCTTTCTTAGGCTTTATGTGGATGTATGTTGTCAAACATTGAGTGTCATTTTGTAAATGGAGATTGTTCATTTGTTTCCACAGTCGCCCAGAAACTTTATTAATTACAACATTGTTTGGCCAATAGTTTAGGCGTATTTCTAACTAGTTCTTATATCTTAAATTAACCTATTTCTATTCATCTATGTATCACCGCAAGGTTGTGGCCTACCGGTAAGGTTCCACTGTCCTTTTCCTTCGGCAGCCACATGTTGTCTACCTGGCTCCACCTAATCTCTCTCTCTATTTCTGTTCAGATTTCCCGCCTGGCTTTACTCTGCTCAGCCAATGGCTGAAACAGCTTTATTCATCAATCAGTAAAAGCAACACATATACAGAAGAACATCCCACATCAGGGTATAAATTGTCTGATGCTCTGAATAAAGTTATGCATTTTTAGGCTCCATTCTCCAAGTTCCACTGCCTCTAAAATGGTAAGCGGGAGGGAAAAAAGAAAATTTAGTGGGGGGAATTTATTAACTAAACCAAACATATGAGAATGAGATGATGTCTGTTGCTCTGGTCCTCCAGTACTCAGCAGTTCCAGGAAGTGTATCAACCAAATCCACCCTGACCAATGCAAAGAAATACTTCCTTTATCTTTAGTTTGTTGCAGAATAAGCCATATCAAAACTTCCTGGTTTAACCATAGGACAAGAAATAGTTTTTATTTATTTTTTTTCATTAGTCTGGGAGTTTGGTGGGGAATTTTAGTTCTCAGCTCAATAAGGCCTGGATGGTCTAGAATAGAATGGCTCATATTTCTAGTGGTCTGAAAGCTGTTTGTTCTAAAGGCCCATGCTTGAATATGGAGCAACTAATTAATATCAGTTGGAGTGGTGTCCTTGTATCTGTTGGCCATCAGGTCAATTGGGAGTTATTTAGTCAGAGAATGTCTAGTAACAAGAGAGGCAAGGTCCCTGTTCTCATGATTTAAGCATCTCTTCACATCACATTTGCTAGCATTCTATTCCTAGGATAGGGCAAAGAGTAATCTGTCTCAGCTACTGACATCATCGGGGTTGTTTTCCTGGACCCACAGCTATAACCTGCAGAGGAGCTAAAACTAAAGAGATTGGCAAGAAACTAGATCTCCCTAGGGTCCTGCAGGTTATGTGAAGAAATCTAGGCCTTGATCTCAAGAGCGATGGGAAGCCATAAAATGTTTTAGAAGGAAAAAAGATAATTCTTGGGCTGCAAAAAGAACAATACTTCTAAGTTTTGACAGGAAGAATAGTGAAATATAACACTTTAGTCACAGAATGTTGGATTAAGGGAAAGGCTTTTTTTTTTAAAGAAAAAAATGGGCATGCTGTTTATTGGAAACTTGAGTCTCAACACAAAACTGTTAGGAGGTGAGGATATTAGGTCATGATGGCTCTGCCTTCATGAACAGAGTAGTGTTATTGAATGGATGATCTAGATAGGCTTCTTACAAAAGCAAGTTTGTCTCTTTCTGTTCTCTTGCTCTTCCTCTTTCTGCCATGGGATGATGAATCATGAAGGTACCAAGATAGGGTCTGTCAATCTTAGACTTCCTCACATGTGTGTACACATCCATGTGTGTGGCGGGCAAAGGACAACCTCAGGTGTCTTTTTTAAAAATTTTTTTAAAGATTTATTTATTTATTATGTATGCAGTGTTCTGGTGCCAGCAGGCCAGAAGAGGGCACCAGATCCAGATCTCACTACAGATGGTTGGGAGCCACCATGTGGTTGCTGGGAATTGAACTCAGGACCTCTGAAAGAGCAGGCAGTGCTCTTAACCACTGAGCCAACTCATCAGCCCCTCAGGTGTCTTTTTTTCCCAGGACTTGTCCATATTGTTTTTGAAGCAAGGGTCTCTCACTGGCCTGGGATTAGGATGAAGATAAACTGGCTGGCCCTACAGCCACCAGGATCTACCTATCTCTGGGATTACAGGCACATACCACGATGCCCAGGTTTTGTTGGTTTTTTTTTGTTTTGTTTTGTTTTGTTTTTTGGGTTTTTTTGTTTTTTTTTTTCTTTTTCACTGTTTAAGGCCAGTTTATTTATTCATTCATTTATTTATTTATTTATTTATTTTAACATGGGTTCTGAGAAAGGAACCTAGGTTCTCATGCTTGTGTACCAAGTGCCTTAAAGACTTAGCTATCACCCAGCTCCATGATTATTTTGTTTGCTGTTTTTTAATGAGCACTCAGCCTCAGGTATTCTACAACAGCAAGCAAAATAGAAAAGGGGGCTGGAAATATAGCTTAGTAGCAAAGTGTTTACCTAGCAAGGGTGGGCCCTTAGGTTCAATCCCCAAGACAAAACAAGACAAAAAATACGCTAAGAAAGTGGGTGAGACTTGAATTTGCTTGAATACTGAAGATCCAATATTGCAAGAGTCTAACGGGAGATTTCTGAGAACTAAGGAGGACCTGAGTTCAAATTCATAAAACTTTAGTGCTATTGGTGTGGCAGAGACAGGAGGATCTCTGGGGCTTGCTGGCCACTAGTTTAGTTCTAGATTCAGTGAAAGACCCTGTCTTAAGGCAATAAGGTACAGAAGGGTAAAACAGGACACCCAAGGTTCTCTTCTGGGCTCCACGTGTATGGCCCCACCCCCACAAATTAAAATTAAAAACCCTGTGATGACTATTCTTAGTTGTCAACTTGACTATATTTGGGATGAACTACAATCCAGAAATGGAGGGCACATCTGTGATTGGATCTTGGGGTGGGATGACACACACCTCTGATTAGGATCTTGAGGTGAGGAGACCCATGCCTTTAATCCAGATCTTGAGGTGGAAAGACATACCTTCTGTCTAGGCTACACCTTCTGCTGGAAGCCTATATAAGGACACGGAAGAAGGAAGCTCTTGTTCTTGGCCTGCTTGCCCTCGCCTTGCTAGCGCATCCATTCCTTTGCTGGCATTTGGAGCTACTTCTTCAGGACTCCAGCATACACAGAAGACCAGCTGAGACATCCAGCCTTGTGGGACTGAGCAACCATTAGATTCTTGAGCTTTCCATTAACAGCGAGCCATTGATGGATTAGCTGGACTGCAGCCTGTAAGTCATTCCAAAAAAAATTCCATATATATATGTATATATATATATATATATATATATATATATATATATAGTGTGTGTGTGTGTGTGTATGTAGTCAGAGAACCCTGACTAACACAAAGCACAACAACTAAAAGGTTTTCCTTTTTACTACACCTTTATAATCACCCTCCATATTTTTCCAGTTTCAAGAGTGTAATTTTGTGACTGACTTGTGTCACTCAACAAAATATCTTTATTATGTTATATCTAATGCCAAGTTGCTATGGATAGTAATTTTGCACTCCTCTTCCTTGCTGATCATGGATCTGATAACATCCCCTCGGTGCATAATACAACTGTCCTACCAGTTAGTGAGTTGGGCTCCAAACCTAGTATCTTTCCTAACTCTCCTCTAACCCACACACCCAGAGTACCAGAATATCCTGGCAACTTCACTTTCAAAATAGACCTGAAATCTGACCGATTCTCACCCGCTGTAATGACACCATCTACTTCAGGACACCATCATCTTCTTATCTTTTTCCAGGATTATTGCTTCCATCTTCATCTGTCTAGCCTCATGATCCACAACAAGCCTCTGTGCCACAACTAGAATGGTTCTGTTAAGAGGTTTAAATCTGATCTTTTTGGCTCAAAATTTCCATTGGTGTTATTAGTGACTGGCAAAAATAATTTTATGTCTACAGTGGTCTGCATAGTTGAACACCTGGCTACTTTCTTACGTAATCTCTACCACTTGCCCCTCACTCGGCCATAAAAGTCAGTTTTCTATGAGCATTGTTTTCTTGTTACTGTTCGTACTCCTCTTCCTGTTAATCTGTCAAACACGTTCTTACCTCAAAACATTCAAATATTGTCTCCTCTGCTTGAACATTCTTTCTGTAGATATTCACTAGATGTGGGTCACCCCTATGAAGTCAGTCCCATTTCGGTTTAAGAGCACCTTATCAATGAGTTCTTCACTAGCATCTAAAAATAGAAGTTGCCTGACACAGTTGTTTAATCTTTACCCTGCTTTGTTCTGCAGAGCACTAATCGGGCTTCCTTTCTGCAGAACCAGTAAAGACCACTGAAAGCAGGAAATGAGTTTTGTTTACTGCTCAATAAACACTGAAGTGAGGACCTGGTTGGGCATGCACAAGGAATTTGGTATTTTTGATTGCATAATTTATAAAAAAAGGGAAAAACAGGCTGGGAACACATGCAAATAGATTTCTAGAGTTTAGGGCATTCTCTATTTTCTGTTACTTATATGATAAGGTAATCAGGGGAAGTTGTATGTGAATACAGAATTAGAGATTCACAGAGATAGTGAGGATCAAGCTGAGTAGAAGAATATAATGAACTTTGAAGCCACCTTTAGAATTCATTTTAAATGGATAATTTAGTGGCTCCAATCTGTTCAGTCAGATCATTTTCTATGGCAAGATACAGGTATGAAAATTATAAAGTCTCTTCTGGTTAGAGGTCTTAGTTGAGGAAAAGGAAGGTTGAGGAGATTGAAAGATTGGGGTTGTAATGAAATGCCACTGAATCTAGGATAAGGAAGGAAGTAGAAGAGGTTAAAGTGTAAGAGATAAAGACATCTTCAGCAGATTGGAGTTTCTGATAAAGTCCAAGAGTGATGGTATAACGTTTGAGCAAAGTGTGAGGAAATGGTTCAGTATCCTGATACACACTAAAAAAACATAGTTTTTAAAAATTAAAAAAAAAAAACTCCATTGGGGACTGAGGAGATGGACTAGTCAGTAAAGTGCTTGGCACCAAAGAAGAAGGACCTAAATTTGGATACCCAACACCTAAGGAAAAAGCTGAGTGTGCTGCACACCTGTAATCCTACCACTTGGAGAGGTAGCGACAAGAGGATTTCTGGAGTTTGCGGGTCAGCTATTCTTGCTAAATAGGTGAGCTACAGATTCAGTGAGAAGCCTTATCTCGAACAAACAAACAAACCACAAACCAAAACCAAAAGGAAAGGAAGGAAAGGAAAGAAACCCCAGGTTTTGGCTGGGATTGGAAATCTGGTGTAAGGCTCAATGTTAAGTGGGCTTTAGACTCTGGATCAAGGAAGATGATCAGTTAAACTACGGAGGTGCACGCATAAACTGATAGGTTCACTACAAGAAAGCGTCGCAGAAGCAAGTTTGTGTGTGTGTGTGTCGTTGTTGTTTTGTTTTTTATTTTATAAGCGGTGTCAGGATTAGTCACATAGTCCCTATCTTTGGAAACCGGAGGAAAGAAAAATTTAACTCTGGTGATTAGGGCGGGGTTGAGAATGGAAGTGGCGCTCCAAGGGTTGCAGCAGCCTCTGGGGACGGGAAAATCTCAGTCTAAAATAATTCAGAGATAACCTGATAAAAAACGGGAATGCTTAATTAAGACTGACTGAAAGATAGCACTCTTAACCCCTCTCTTTAACTTTACAAGGAACGTCCAATCTCCGCAGCCAGAAAGCAGAGTAGACGTAGTTACCCTGCTTTTTTTTTTCAACTCCCCGCGAAAGCACTCCCACCGGACCGCCTCTGTGTCTGCGCTCTCCCATTGGCTGACGCTTCCGCCCGCCTTAAATAGCTTCCGCCCACGGGTCTAACCGGAGGGCGGACCCTAGGAGTCACTTCCGTCTCGTCCCCCACCTCCCACCACCTTCTTCCCTTTTTAGCTGCTTCCGGCCCCAAGCCCCGCCCCGTCCTCGAGGCCCCGCCCCTGCCTGCCCCTCCCCCGCCCCAGGCCGATGGCCCGGCCCCCGCGGCACCGCTTCCGGTGTGGGCCCCGCCCCGGCTGTGGCCCCCAGCTGCAGAGAAGTCGGAGGCTCAGCTGCTGCGCCGGGGCCTGAGCGGCTGCCTCCTTCCCAACCGCGAGCCCGAGCCCGGAACGCTGCGCATAGGTGAGCTACGCAAGTCTGGGTTCTTTCAGCCGCGGCGGGAGCGGGGCTGTGGCAGGTGGAGGGGACCGAAATGGGAGGCGAGGCAGGTGTGTAGGGGAGACGCGGGCCAGCGAAGCGGGGGGACCGCTGAAGAAGAGTGCGAGCGTCGGGAGGAGCCCTGTCCTCCCGGTGCCCAGAGGAGTGATCTGAGATAAAGAGATGGGAAAGGTAAGGGACCCCCGGGGAACCTCAGGGCGAGCTTAGGTGGAGTTGGGATGCTTGGAGAAGAGCCTGGAGATTGGCAGAGAGGGTTTGGTGGGAGTAAAAGTGATAGGGCTCCATTGGGAGGGGGTAAAGACTGGACAGAGAGGCTCGAGGGGGTCAGGGACGGAGCTGCTGGAAACGAAGGTAAGGGAAATGGTCAGCAAGGCCGGGCTCAAGCGGCAAGCAGTCCGTTGCGCCCCGTTTGGAGGTCCGGGAAGTTTAGAGGATAGAGCGAAGGATGAAGGGATGAAGTGGTTTAGATTTCTGAGGCGTAAATTCTCCAAATATTGGTAGTATTGTTTGGATTATTGGCTGCTTAGGAGTTGGGATGAGATGGGCTCTGTAAGGGAGAATGAGCCCATTGAGTTGTACTAAAGAGGCTATGGGACACCTCCCCTTCTGCTGAGGGCAGCCCTACAGAGAAGATGGTGCCAACCAGGCAAGAAACATTTGTGCACTGACTGGCAGGACTTGGTTGAAATATTTCCATTGTGTTGGTTGACGTTAATGATTATATGAATATTTTTAAATCACCAGTGAATTACTGTTACTCTTTTGTGTGTATGTGTGTTGTTTCTGTATTTTTGTCCCCAAAGTGGTTTTTATTTTAGATAAATACTTTTGCCAACTGGGTGTAAATCCTTCAGGCTTTCTTACGGAATAAGAACTAAAGCAGAATGAAAGTATTGCTGCAGGCATAACTTACACTTTCTAAACTGCTAAAGAGGAAGTATGGGCAGTAAGAGGCAAATTGGAATTTGAATCTTTTAACCGCCTGTGAAAACTACAACCGAGTGCTTCTAAGAAACAAATTGAGAAGCGTCTATCATGACTCTGGTTGTTTTTTGGTCTTTTTTTCCCCCTAGCTTTAAAAATTGTATCCCTATAAGCATGTGAAAATTTACAGATCAAAGCCATTTTTCTTGCTTGGGATTACTTCCCCCATTAATATTTGAAGATGCTGAAGATTTCATTTTCTTCTTCATTTCAAGATGCATTCACTCCATCTTCCAACTCAGTCTTAAAACACTGGGACAATGCAAATATCAAGTCCCAACCTGCACAGAGCAGCTTCCCCTTTCATGTGGCAACAAAATTGCACACCCTGTTGCCAGTCCTCTTCACCCTAAAATTTACTTTGGCATGGTAATCCATTCACTTCGGAAGACTTGTGAGAAAATATAATTTAAGTGAGGCTTGTTGAAGGTGGGAGCCTGGGAAGGGTTAGAGGTGGCAGGGTGTGAAAGGGGTTTGTGTTTGGAGAGGGATTGGTAAGAATGCAGATAAACCTGCCCCCAGAATACTTTGGGACTGGAAGCCTTTTCTTGCTGTATTCATCAAATAAATATAGTAGAAATGAATCAGACAGAAAGAGGATGTGAGAAGATTTACTTGTGGTTTATAAAAAACGTAGCGTTGACTTGTTTAGGCAATATTGGTACCTGTTTCAAATTAATTAACTTTAAAATCTCCAGAGGAATTCCCCCCTCCCCGTTTGTTTTTGAGGGAAGCTTGCAATTTGAGACTCTTGCCTCCTTGCATGTTTCTTTCTTTCATGTTGTTGAAACCGGATTCTTTTGGAGGCTATAATGTCCACTTAGCCTGGTTCAGTCCACTCAACAAACTGGCTGGCAATTTGATCTGGGAAATTTGTGAAGTTTTAAACCAAGAGCAGTTTGCTTGATCTTGCTTTTTCCGTCAGAAAAGTCATTCTGTCTGTCTCTTACAGCTCTGTGTCTAGCTTGAGTAGGAATCTCCTTCTCCAGAGAGTCTGGGAAATATAAGCCACATTCTTTCTTTTGCAGCCAGGCTATTTTTTTGCCTTTGTTAATTTCAGTTTTCATAGTTACTACAAATTCTATAATTCAACACCTGTACAGTGCAAGTCCAGTAGATTACTGTTTGATAAAGTAGAGAGTAAGAGAGATAAGAACTCAGTTGTTAGCAGACTTAAATGTTTTCTGGATTTCCTTTTTTTAAAACAAAATGTTTAAATCTACCTCTACCGAGATTTGCCCCCTATTTCCCCTCTTAGATCCTGTTCTCTTTTTTATAACTTTCCCTCCCTACCCTCCAAACAAACCCCTACTACTTACTCATCTTGAAAGTCGGGTTTAGGAGCATTTAGTATTCAAAACTTTACTGGAGAAAAGACAATCTTTTATACCCGTTTTACATAGTTTTTTCCCCTTCTTTCTCCCTTGTGGTTTTGGTTACTCACTTAAAATTTAGACCCAGTGTACCTGCTGGTCTGTGCCCAGATTGAGAGCCATGCCAGTCTGTGGGTGAAGTCTGAGACAGTAATGGAGCCTCTGCAGCAGCAACAAAAGCAGCCACACCAGGCTCCTCTACAGATGGATGCCAGAGAGAAGCAGAACCTGCAGACAAGAGAAGCACAGTTGCTGTATGCCCCCAAACTAACCACCCAGCCTACTCTCCTTTCTGTCACACCTGGGAGGCCTTCTGGTAGCCCTGTTCTGGGTCCCTTAGCCAGAGTTACACCAGCCACACCAGTGACCCAGGTATTTGAGCAGAGCAGCATCAACTCCGAACCCGAGGAAGAGGAAGGAGGTCTGGAAGACGAAGATGGAGATGATAATGTTGCAGAGGTGGCTGAGAAAGAGGCCCAGGCTGCTTCCAAATATTTCCATGTGCAAAAAGCAACTCGCCAAGACGCCAGAGCAGCACCCATGTCCAGCCTGCCTCTAGCACCTGGACTCCCACTACAGGGACAACAAGCTAAAGAAGACCATACCAAAGATACTTCCAAGGCCCCACCTCCCATCCCCACAGCTGGGCAGTCGAGCTGGAATCTGGATGAGCAGCTTAAGCAGGTCAGTGTTTCTGCTGTTGAAGGAAGGCCATTGTTTTACCTAGAGGTCAGGCACAGAGGGTGCTGGGTGGGCAGGAGCTGGGACTATGCCTTTTCACCCCATGTCATTGACCTAGATAGGAATAGTCTGAAGTTTTTCTCTGCATTTGTTTGCTTGATTTGAGGGTGTAGTTCCATGATAGTGTCAGGAGCTAGATTCAGTCTCTAGGACCACAAAAATATTAAGTGATGGTTCTTTTTATTAAAGCATTAGAGTATATAACTTACTGTTAATGTGGTTTATTTGAAGTTTCTGTTAAAGAATCTTTTCTCTATTTTTTTTAAAGGAAGAATGAGGTAACAGTTGTGTTTCATTAGGAGTCTCTAAAAACAAAGTGGCTGGTTCACACTTGTAATTCCAACACTTAGGATGTAGCAGTAGAAGAAGCGGTAGAAAATGTTGGTGTGGTAGTGTACACCTGTAATCTCAGTACTTGGTAGGCAGAGGCAAGCAGATCTCAGTTCAAGCCCAGTCTGAATACTGAGTTCCAGGCCAACCAGGACTACATAGTGAGACCGTGTCTAAAAATTTTTAAATAATGAAATTTATGGTTCTAATTAGTTTTCCTAGTGGGAATGTAGAATAATTTTCTCCATTAGTTTTTTAGCTCTAAGTAAACCCAAAATCATGTTTTTCGGTTGTTTTGAAGTTGAATATAGCTGCTAAAAAGCACTTCTGAATATTTCTCAGCAGAGAGCCTTATAGACATGATTCTGTTTTATTTTTTACATCGTCTGGTTGGAAAGAGGGAAGGGAGACCTCAGAATTCCCTTTCTACCCAAAGAAAGTTGAAATTAGTTCCAAAGATGGTTGAATATCAGAGTCAACTGTAGGGGGTTTTACTTGTTTCTTTGGAGGGTGAAGCTCGAGTTTGGTGCTGCTGGGGAGCAGCATGCGAGTAGAAAGCTTTTTATAAAGGCCCTTGGAGTCCTAGTAATGAATTGTTTTGGAGGGTGGACCTTAAGGGATCTCTTTACAGCTAAGCCTTTGTCTTTATAATTTCTTTGTGACCTACACTGATGTTTTTCAGTGGTCGAAGTATGAGAGTAATGGTAAATTGTTCCAGGGTGGCTTGTTGGTGCTATAGACAGGACATTCATGATAAAGCCACTAGTCCCTAGATATTCAGAGTTTACATATACACTGTCTCTGTAATCCAGTGATGCTACTTAGAGGGCATTTGTGAAAATCTATGGCTTACAAAAGAGCAACTGCAAAGTCATAGTTGACAAGGTCCTTTGGAAGCTGAAAAATAAATAGGCATCTTTGTCTCAAGGAGCCCTGTGCAGTTTCCCTGAGTTTTCTACAACAGCGTCAACAGTGTGCTCTGATCCCATCTCTTCATGTCTGTTCATTGATATTTTGGTAGCATTTTAAATTGTTCTGAGCCTGTGTTTTATCAATTGCAGATTGAAAATAATGAAGCTAAGTATGGTTTATATTCATAAACTCTAAATTTGTGAGGCTGAAATAGAGTTATGAGTTGATTTCTCAAGGACGTTGTAAAGGGAGAGCAAGTGAGCCATGTGAATGCCTGTCTTGTGCCCAGCACTTGG